CCTAAGGTTGCTGCTTCCTTTCTTATTAATGGTGATGTTGTCGAGCTTGCTGCCTTGCTTTTGGTCGCTCACCCCTCGCTTCTCCATCATTTAAAATCTTGTCATATTGAGAATCATCCCTCCACAATGAAGGACACAAGTGAGATGGTTTCATTGGCCGCCGTTGGAAAATTTCCAAATCCAAGTGGGTTTGGATTGATTGAGATTTTCGAAAAGGCTGGCGATTCACTCACCAATTTCTACACCAAAATGCCTCAAGATGTATGTTATGCCCCTCCATATGTATATATCTATTCACGGGTTTATAAAATAAGTTGTGTTTGATGAATGGGTTTTTTTTATTTTGGGTGATTTCAGATTTCCGGCCAGGATCTGATAAAGAGTGTTGCTGAGATTCTCATCCGTGATGCTCAAATTCCAGTATCTGAAGATGATGTGGACTTGGCCGGAATTTTGAGGTGTGCCCGTCTTATTGTTGGGCTTGATTTTACCCTTGCTTCTCAGCTTTGATTAGTCACTATGCTTTGTCTAACTTGATTGATTGACCATCTTATGTATGCCTGGTCTGCAGTGTGGAACCTGAAATGATGCCTTCCATTCACCAATATCTGCTTGGTAAAACCACACTTTTATTCCGCCATAATAATACAGCTTTCTTTGTTTCAAAATTAGCCTGCTTGCAGCAAAGTCGAACCGCTGGTATTATTGTTAGTCCGAGCATGTATATATGTATAATGACAAGACGTGTTGTCGTGCCTTTTGAATTTTAGGTATTAAACCAAAGGATGGCAGTGACAAGAGTCAGAAACACATGTTCCCCTCTGTGCGCTCTCCTGATCTCCTGTATTTGTGGGAACCAGTGAAAGTAAGTATTTTAAGACTGTTTGGTGGGGCTTATTTTGATTGTGTGAAGTGACTGTGTTAAATTATGATTGGTTGAAAATTTAAAAAAAAAAATTGAGAGAAGGCCGTGATGGCCATCACTGCTGCAAGGGCAACCCTCCCGTGCATTTGGGGTGGGGGCGTGACGGAGATGGTCAAGACCTCCTCACGCCATGATAACACATGCCTAACTTCTCTTATTTTTATCTTTAACTTGTTTTGTTTTTCTGAACGAACTTCAATGTAGCCCCTTCCTTATTACATCAGTTATGGTTTATTCTAAAACATTACTTCATTTTCATTAATGTCAACTTCACAAGGTGCTAAAAATCTTTTCTTTTTCTTATGTGTTTTTATTTCTTATGTTTTTCTTTTGGGTCCCTTTATATTGGGAGTAATTGTATTAGTTATTTGCGAGTAGTATGCTTTTGTCTCTAACAGTGGTCATCCATTATTGGTTAGGATACATACCATGAATGTTCCCATGCCAATATATGAATTCTCATAGTGAAAATAGTGTAGATGTAGAGGATCTAGACTCCTGAGCATACCCTTGTAAGCCTTGCCCTCTTTTCAAATTAAAATCTCCTGTTGGGCTTTTACGAAGCTGAAGTCTTGTGTTACAACATCTCCTGTTGGGCATAAACAAAATTGCACTATAGAGTTTTTTACAATGGTGATGATGAAAGTGAAACTAGTATATACATGTAAATGGTCTGGAAAGCTGAACATGCCTGTTTAGACCTATTTCTTCTCTTTTCATTTTTGAGTATGATTGGCCTTTGCAAAGTCTTCAATCTGGGTGTTTCAACGTCTTCGGTTTGGCGTTAACAAAGATGCATCGTAGAGGCTTTTACAATGGTGAATTCTTCATATGGAGGGTTTACACNCCTCCAACTCCGGCATTAAGGGTCATGGCATCTCTGGCAATGAGACTTGGAAGGGGCCTCAGGTTTCTCTGATGGCAGGTATCTAATACGGAGTGATTCATTTAATTTTGCCGCATTGAAGTTCCAGGGTGGTGGTGTGCTCGAATAATGTGGGGAGATTCGGGAGATTCCTAGTCTAGTAATAAAAGGATGCCGCAACTTCGTGTCTCATGTACTCCGTACTATTTAATAACTGTACCATATGTTGTATCTCATGCTAGAGTTGAAGTGAATTGTTGTGATTTATTTGTGGACGTGGTACCACTAATTATGTAGCTGGCTTAGAATTCGATTGTGTCAGTATTTAATGTGATGGATTATTTTAATGTGATGGATTATGGGTCATTCAATCTACTTGATGATACTTTACTGTCGTAGGCTTTTGCTGTATTGCTATACTCTGTAAGTTTTAGCTGGGGTATATTTCATGCTCTTTAGAATTTCTGTTCATCTTGTAACTCACCTTTAGCATGACCCTCCAAAATAGTCAAAAGTGATGGATGCAGGCAGGCATATTTGGTTGAGTAATACTGGGTATGTTTTTTGTTTCTTTATTTTACTGAGTTCATCTGCATGAACTCGTTTCGAGTGTTACGGAGTACTATGTTAGGAGCTTTTACAATGTCTACTCTTAGTCGTATCTTTCACTTCATTTCTATACGGTGGGTGTTTGTATATTTGGGCTAAACACTATATAAACATATTTTCACCCACACAGAAACCTCCCTAATACCATTAGGATTCACAATGTTCCCCAATACTCGTGCTTGTTTTCTTCTCCCCCACACCTCCTTTGCAGATCTGCAAGAACTCACTCTTGCCAATTCTTCGGGGACCAAGGGAGCAATGAAGAATGTTGACCGCCTTTGCGTTCATTGATAGTTTCCTCTTGTCCTTGGTAGATAACCCTGCAAAATTACCATTACTTGGCACAAATGGCTCGTGAAGCATGTTTATCCATAAAACCTAGTCAACAGATTGTAGAAATCATTGTTTGCATTTTCCAATACGAGTAATTTTGGCCATTGAAAAATGGAGGGCGGTTAAATGTTAAATCAACACACAACATGTTGTGCATTAAATAAAAATGTATTTTTTGAACCGTTTTGTCTCATTTTGGTTTATAATGTTTACTACTCCCTCCGGTTTCGATATCGGTTCGGAATCGTACTCGGGTCCAGGTTTCTCTAAGTTGTTCATGCAAATTTTAAATTATATGAATTTTTTTAATATATGTCTTTTTTTTCGGTCTTTATATTTGTAAATTTTTTTGTTTGTTTTTTTCAATTTTTTCTTGATGTTTTAATTTTGTTTGTTTGGTTGTTTTCGATTTTTTTTACTTACTTTTTTGTTGTAAACAAATGTCTAATTTTTTGCGTGTTTTATTGTTTTATTTTTTTGATTTTTTTGTTTTACTTAATCATTTGTATTTATTCAATTTCAATAAACAAAAAAATCAAAGCATACATCTTATTTTTTTTGTCTGTTTATAAATCTTTATTGTAAACAATTAAACAAAAGAAGGGAATAAAATAAGCCCTAAATAAATAACTAAAAAATAAAAAATAAGACATAAGAAAATTTTAAAAAAACAAACAAAAAATAAGTCATAAAATACACATTTTCGAATTGCTCTTTGGAAATAGTCTAGGGGTAACTGGTATGACTGGACATAATGCCCCATGCCCATCCGCCTGTGGTCCGCCGTGGCATTGCCATGTTTCCCCGTGAGCACGCGGAACACCGCCCCTCGGCCCCTCCCACGCGTGAGTCTGCCCGTGATCGAGGGTGGTGGCCACGGTTGGGCTGAAATCCTAATAATTAGAACATTTTATATTTTTTAAGAATTAAATATAAAAGTAATTACATTTATAACAATTAGTATTATACCATAAATACTTCGATTAGGAACACCAAGTAATATTTAATTTCTTACACATAAATACTCACCTATCAAGTTTTGATCATTTTACAAAGTTATAAATGGAAAATGATAATTTTTGTTACATGTAAATTTTTACTCCGTACAAAGCTATACATGGAAAACAATAATTTTAAAATGGAAAATACTAATTTTAAAACGGAACATACTTTTTATTTGATTTAGAATTTTTTATATATACAGAATAAAATTAATGCCCTATTAAATAAACGTGCCCATAAAAATCCATTTCCTTTTATATAATTGTTTTTTTTAAATTATTAGAAAATCTCTCCAATTAGTATTAATTCAAAGCAAAAAAATCAAATGTAATTTTGTTTAGTCCTACCAATCTATCCATTCTTAAAGTAAATTTATTTTTTTATTATAGTTTTTGAATATGTGTTTTTTTTAAATTTTAAAATATACTATTTAATTTAAATATTTTCCAATAATGAATGAAACTATAAAAGTTTTTAAACGCGATTATATGGAGAAATTTGTGTGTAACAAATAAGAAATTTAATTTCCGCATAATAAATTTGTTTGTTAACTATTTTTTAAACATTACTTGCTAACATGACATGCTGATATGTCAAAAAAATTGTCTAATAAGTACGCCTCATGTCACAACTCTAGAAGCCTAACTCGTTTGAAATATTGAGGAAGTCGATTTTGATGACGTGGCTGATGAAGTGTCAAAAAAGTTCCAGTCAGCATGCCAAATGTCGCAGTTCCGAAAGTTCAACTCTCAATATTATACAGAGTATATAAAGGATAATGCTTCTCCACAATTACAATGCAAAATAAATTGAATAGTAAGTAGAACCGCATCTCCAGATATACAAATCACTCCAAAATAAATCACACCAGTAGAGTCGAGGCGACAACATAATAATCCACAAGGCTTTGCTAGAGTTGACTAATGTTACACCAACATGATTCAAGCGACAACATAATAATCCACAAGACTTTGCTAGAGTTGAGACTAATGTTACACCAACATGATTCATTCTTACTACTCTTGTAAGAGTAGAAATATCCCACATCTGCATATAGTGCACAAACTTTAATTTACTTATTCTACACAACTTATCTGAGCTTGGACCATCACCCTAAAAATTATACACACACACACAAAACACATTATGTGAGACAAGCAATTAAGTGTTAACAAGCATTTAAAAGACCACAAATAACAACATAATTCTGATAAAAGTCACTTAAACATGCAAGTCTAAAAGTTATCCTTGAACATGTCATTCATATGTTTATCAATATCTATATCGATAGACTCATCATAGACACTAGATAAGTCTAACACCATAGTCATCTTCAAGATACTCATCATTATTTAGTTGATGTTTCTCTGTGTAGGTGCTTATTGATATATTGCTTATAAGTAGTACTTCGTATTTTACTTATAAGCTACTTATAAGTTAAAAACTCTTTCGTTTAGAAGAAATGACTTAAATGATATATAAGTCATTTGGGATATTCATAAAAGGTGAGAGATAGTTTTTGATCCGGAGGAATATCACATTTTCTTCATTACTTTTGGATTATTTCATTCCATTTCTAGTCTTTGTTTGCCCCACTTCTCGTCAATTACTCGTTTCTATTCTTTATTTTGCCCCACTTTTACGTAATTGAGACATTTTGCTATGTTTTCCATAGATTTTTTTTACTCTCAATACATCTCCTTGTACAGCTAAAAAAAGCATTAGATGCACCACTATCAGTTAAGTGAATTTGCAATAGCAGATACCTGTGGCCAGCAACACAATCAGAAAAACCTGATCGCCCTTTTAAGTCTCATTGCCAGGGATGTCATGCCCCTTACTGATGGAGATGGAGCAACCCAAGCCTGAGAATTTGAGCTTAGTTTTGGGCTTTGGAATGCCTGAGTGTGATATAGTTCTCTCCCCAACCTCTGGTATCGTTTCCATTGAGCAGGTGACACCCTTGTAAACCCATCCTACAAACGAGTAGCAATCATTAGCAACACTCTTCTTCAATAAGTAAACTGTAATGTTGAATAACCCAGTATTTCTATTAGTATTATTTAAATTATGGTTGTTCTCCTATTCCTAAGGATGAGCTATACACATTGGAGCATGTTGATGGTCACTTTTTATTCCCCGCTTTGATGGTCACTATGATCATTGGAGCATGTTGATGGAGAACTTTCTCGGTCCAAGGAGCTTTAGACCATGATGGAAACTGCAGTAGCAACTCCAACCGCTGCGATGCCGGCAGAACAAAGGACGAGGTTGGAAGCTTTGAAACTAAAGGATCTCAAAGCCAAGAACTTCCTCTTCCAATCAATTGATCGGGCTATTTTGGAGACCATTCTTTGCAAGGAAACCTCCAAAGATATTTGGGAGGTCATGAAGAAGAAATGCCAGGGAAATGCAAAGACAAGGAAGTTGCAACTTCAAACTTTGCGTTCGAAGTATGAATTACTTCGGATGAAGGAAGGTGAGAAATTTGCTAAGTATTACTCAAGGACTATGACAATAATCAACAAGATGCGGTGTTACGGTGAAGAACTTCAATATGGAACCGTTGTTCAAAAGATACTACCGTCACTGACGGCAAATTGTATGTTCAATAGAGGAGGAATATGACACAGATAAAATATCACTTGATGATTTGGAGAGCTCCGTCCTGGCTCATGAAAAGAAGCTGATTTCATAGCAAAATGAAATTGAGCAGGCTTTGAAGGTCTCTGTAAATCACCATTCCTCATCAGATAACAGAGGTGATCGGAACAGAAGTCATGGTAGAGGAAGACGAAGCAAGTCAAGCAACTACCAAAACCAACATCAAACCAATCAGTTCCAAGGAAGAGGAGGACGAACCGACGAGGAGGTCACCACTCAACAAATCATAAATCAATGTCAGAAGCCAAATCAAATGTTGAGTGCTACCGTTGCCACAAGTATGGTCACAATGAAGAAAAAACTCGTTTTGTTGAAAAGGAAGATAAGATTTCCTTGTTGATGGTTTGCCACGTCACTGAACAAGCTCAACAAAATAAGTGGTATTTAGATTCTAGGTGCAGCAACCATATGTGCAGAGATAAGAATGTTTTTACCACTCTTGACGAGTCATTCTGCAACACTGTCAAGTTTGTTGATAACTCCATTGTTTCAGTGACGGGAAACTCCATGCACATCATCGTAGATGTTCTTTTTGTTCCAGATCTGAAGACCAATGTGCTCAGTATTGGTCAACTTCAAGAAAAGGGATATGAGGTTTCTATCAAGGATGGAGTACGTTGTATTCAAGATGCAAAGTTGGGTTTGATTGCTCATGTCAAAATGACGGACAATCGTATGTTTCCTCTCCATCTTCAGCCTAGTGATCATGCTTGTTTCACGGCAAGGCTAAAAGATGATGTATGGTTGTGGCACTTTCGTTATGGACACCTAAGCTTTGGTGGACTAAAGACTTTGCAGCAGAAAAGTATGGTCTTTGGTCTTCCTCAAATCATTGTTCCATCTCAGACTTGTAACGAGTGCGTTGTTAGCAAACATGTTAGGCCCGAACCGGGGGTCTAAACGAGTTGCTATTTTGAGGAGGACTCAAGGAATGATTCAGCTTTGAGTTCAGGGTTCTGGAGCAGGAGATAATCGATTTACACAAGGTAACAATCGATACTGAAAGCTGCAGAATTTCTAGGGAAGCTGATAGTCGATTATCTGTATATGATAATCGATTATAGGAGCTCGCAGTTTATTCCAACGGGATTCAGCAGGGGACGATAGTCGACTATCAAATGTTGGTAATCGATTATTGGACTTTGCAGCAGACGCCAAGAAAGTCCTGAAGAGTGAGATAGTCGATTATCTTAATTGATAATCGATTATCAAGACAATCAGGATCAGGAAACCTAGGCGGGTAATAGTGGTGCTTGTGTGGGAATGGCTGGGATTTGTGGAGATGATGAGGGAGTTCTTTTGGGTATTTTAATGGAAGAAAAGAGTGAGATTAAGAGGAGAAATGGGGAGGTATGAAATGGAAGAAAATCAGGGATGGATAAACCAAGTTGGTGTTTAAGAGATATTACACACTCTTATCCTAACTTGGGGTTTGAATCTAGAATTTAATTAAGATATGACACACTTAATCAAATATCTAGAACCTAAAACTCACACTTAAGATAACCACTCTTAAGATATAGAATTGGGAATTTGGCTAAAATAGCATCACACTATTTTATAAATACTCAAAGAGTAAAAGGGAGTTTTAATATTCAAAGATGTTCATTACAAGGGCCAAATGGCCGAAATATATAAGGAGGGGAGAGGAGGGAAAACACACAATATAA